TGTCTGCCCTATGCCATGAAATCACTTATCGGGAGATGGGTGGCTATATAAATTTAATAAATAAACAAACAAATCTTCACTGATAATGGCTAACAAATTGAATTGCATCCATAAGTACATCCATTGGTCACCTGTGCAGCTTATGTAGCATAGGTCTTAAATGGGTGTACCAATACATGCCTATAATTCCTCACATTCTGGACCAGCTTAACTTCCCGGAGGTCTTTAAGGGAAATAGGTAGTCCTCGACTTACAGTTATTCATTTAGTGATTGTTCAGAGTTACAATAGTACTGAAAAAAAGTGATGTATGGCTGGCCCTTCCACTTACAACTATCACAGCATCCCTATGGTCACATGATCAAAATTTGGCTGCTTGAAGTTGTCAACTATTTACAATGGTTGCAGCATCCTGGAGTCATGTGATTGCCATTTGCAATCTTCCCGAATTTCTTACAAATAAAAATCAATGGTGAAAGTCAGATTCATTTAAAGCTGCATGATTTACTTAACATCTGCAATGGTTTGCTCAACATCCATGGCAGAAAAAGTTATAAAATTGAACTGAACTCATTTAACAACCACCTTGCTTAGCAATGGAAAATCTGGTCTCAATTCTGGTTATAAGTCAAGGATTATCTGTACTTCTTGAGCTAATTGCAATAATCCACACACAAGATTACTAAGGAAGGACTTGCAGTCAAGAGACCAGTGTGGTTAGTGCAGTCCCATAGACAAGACTGAGCAAAGGCCCTACTGGCTAATGATACCACGTGCTCTCTGAACAGAAACAGGAGAACCTTCAGATTATGTATGAAGTCTGTCTGGAAAAGACCTGCCCCATTCAGAACCAAAGACAGAAAATTCATGGAAAAACTATGAAGACACAGCTATTCAATTTTGTCAGGGCTGAGCTTAAGCTTGTTACTCAGCCACTGGACAAAGCACTGGCAGCATCACTTGATCTCTACTGATGATATACAAGTCTGTGTTGATGAACAGCCTCATCCAGTTACTTCATGTGCTTGTTAAACAGGAGGGGTGAGAATGTCAATCTGAGCAGTGGGTAATAAATCAATTTGTTTCCTGCCAACATATATGGGGACTGGTCACAAAAAAAAAAAAAAAAATGAGGAGAATTACTGAAACTTTGTGCCTCTCATTTCCAATCTCCACAATCAGTTGAGATGGTATCAAGGCTCATGGTATCAAAAACTACTTAAAGGTCAAGGTGTACCTTAAAGGTGTACAATTCCACCAGAGATCATCAACAAGTGTAATCTGTCCGCCCCCATGTTATGTCGCAGGCTGAAACCCAATTAAAAAGATCCAGATACTTCATTTCCTCCAGGGCCCACAGAAATTGCAACATCACCACTTTCTCAACAATCTTTATTAACAAAGAAGGTTGGAGACTGGGCAAAAATTGTTCAGGATTGCTAGCGGAGGCAGTAAAGTCTTCAGGAGGGAATTCACCACTGTCTGCCCCTTCAAGCAAAACCAACTCCATTCTGAAAGATAAATTCTCCACCAAAATAAACTCAATCATATAGGTAGTCCTTGATTTATACAACTGAGTCCAAAATTTTGATTGCTAAGCAAGACAGTTGTTAAACGAATTTTGCCCCATTTTATGACCTTTCTTGCCACAGTTATTAAATGAATTACGACAGTTGTTAAATTAGTTATATGGCTGTTAAGTGAAACTGGCTTCCCCATTGATTTTGCCTGGCAACAGTTTGCAAAAGATGATCACATGACTCCAGGACACTGCAACCATCATAAATGCATGCCAGTGACAATTTTGATCACATGATCATGGGGATGATGCAATGGTTGTGTGAAAAAAAATATAATAAGTCACTTTTTTCAGGGCCATTATAAATTTGAATGGTCACTAAATGAAGAATTGTAAGTTGAGAACAACCTATATGTTACTTCAATGGAAGATTTAACCAGTCCAGGAGGGACATGGACCTAAAAGACAGGTAGCCCAATGACCTGCCCATTTTCTCAGGTCTTATAGGAATAAAACTTCCTACATAAGACAAGATTGTGACTCAATCAATTCAACTGGACTTTCCCACTTACAGTTATTTCCAAGTGGATCTGAGCAACTTTATCCTAGACCAGGGGTAGGCAACCTTGGCTCTTTTATGACTTGTGGACTTCAACTCCTAGAATTCCTGAGCCAACCATGAAGTCCACGAGTCATAAAAGAGCCAAGGTTGCCTACCCCTGTCCTAGAGTATTCCTCCCAGCATCGTTGAAGATGTTCTCCCTTGCGTTGAAATTGTAAGGACATCTCCCTCATCAGTCTTAATTGAGAATAGAGATATATTGTTGGAACACAGCAAATTGTATCAGCATTCTTTTCATTCTATCTCAAGGACTATAAGAAAGCATGTTAAATTGACTGTCTGGTTGTGCCCTAACAAGATCTTCCATTTAACCTTTCTTGAACAAAATTTGCTGCTGCCTCCAATCATGGGAGAGTGAGAATATCCCATAAGGATATTTACCACATCTGCACAAGCAAGGACAACACTTTATCCATAAGCACAGATTACAAAGTCTAATCAATTAATATTTCCAAATCTGGACACTCTACTGGGCTTGAATTAAAGGACCAGGCTAGAAACAGGAGTCCGTGAATTCTAGTCCCGCCTTGGGCATGAGAACTGGCTGGGTGATTTTGGGCGAACCACTGTCTCTGAGCCCAACCTATCTCATGGGGTTGTTGTGGGGAAAATAGTAGGAGGAAAGAGTTTATGTATGTTGGCTACTTGAGTTATTTGTAAAAAAATAATAAATATAAATAAATAAACAAATTAAATTGCTGTAACTTAAAACCAACGTGACCAAATAATTTTAGCTGGGAATAATTTGAACACAAAAGCAATGTATCTAAGGGACAGAGTTTGGGAAATGTTAACTGAAGAAACAGCAGAGAGAGAACATGAACACCCAGTAGTCCTATAGTTTTGCATAAATTTTGCAGTTCTGCTGTTTTGTTTGTATTTACACGTGGGGAGGATGGGGGGGGGGGAGGAAAAACAAATAGCCCTCTAGAAATACTTATTGTTGCCATATTTATTTAACTTGCACTATCCCAGGCCACATTATTGAAGCAAAGACATGCATTTTTAGGATGATTTGGAAGGAGAGAAAGAATTGATATTCCCTAAACTTTGGCACCCAAGGCCAGCACCTATTCAGCCTTAGATCCATGCCAGACCCAATATCCAAGCATTTCAAGCAGAGATGGGCTTTCCAGCCAGTTTCCTACCCAAATACTGGCTATGCCAACCTGTTTAAATTTAAAAATAGATTTATATCATAGACTTTCAGACCAATTTTGAAATTACCCTTTTCCCGTCACCTCTGTCCATTGTCCATGTACTTAAAAGTAAGATCTATATATGAGCAGACACATACTTGATGTGCATAGAAAACCTCCTGATCTTTCTTTGGCCTCTTTTCAAGGCACATGATGCAAAAAAAGGACACAAAACTAATCATTTTTACATAACTGAGGACCTTGCACACAAGCAAAGCTCTCAATGAAGCATTAAATAGTCTGAGTATATTCTGATGCTAAAGCACTTTCAAAGAGAGTCAGGATCAAATGTATGCCTGAATGAAATCATTAGAATGGGTAAGCCATGTGATTGATAGATTAAAAAAACTACAGAGGTACCTTACCAGAATTATTACTCATTCAGAAATATTGCCTCTTATATTATGTATTATATAATGCAATATAATGGATATTAAAGTATTTATGTTCACCTGCATAGCACCCATCATAAACAGTACTGGATGTTATATAAACACATGTAGAACAACTCCCTTCCTCCCTCTCTCTATCTCGTAAATATACAATATCTTCACTTACAAACACAATGTACATGTACCACCACTGCATTTGTCTTTATGATAAATGTAGAATATTATTATTTACAAACACAATCAACTCTAAAAGTAGGTGTTCAGGCAACTTGTCAATGCATTGTATGAACTATGCCACGTTTTGGATATGTATCATGCATCTTTCCCTGTAAGAATGTATAAACCACCTAATTGGGATTTCCTCAAAGGTACAGTCAGTGTTGATATGTAGGCAGGAGATTACGCATTTTATAGCCCAACACTTTTACAGGACATCAGATTAGAGAAAAATAGATAAAATCATACTGAAAATCATATCCACTGCACACCATGTTCCAATAATGAGGATGTTTAAAACAAAGCTTTTGAAGGTTATTCTTCCACTACCAGGGAATAACCAAGATTATTCTTCCACTCTCCTCCACAAATCTCAGCAGTCACACTTCATAAGAACACCATAAAACTCCATATTTTCATACTTTCTTCAACCTGATAGCCCCACAATTCATTTTGAATTCAGCCATCCCACATGCACATAAACTAAGTCAACCACAAGACTGAAAACCAGAAAGGGAAGATGCCACATCACTCTTAAGCCAATAAACACCTCAACCCAAAATTGCTGCCTTCCCTGTTTCTGCCCTGGAACTCATGAGTGATGGGCCTTTGGCAGGGAAATCACAACTTATGAGTTGAAAAGAAAAGGAACAGAAGTAAAGGTTCAGAAATCATACTATAACAATATTTTTAACGAAGTGTAGCATTTGATGTTATATAACAAGTAAATTGCACACACATGTATCTGCTCCAAAGAAAATTTGGATGACAATATTTCCCCTGAACAAATTTCCCATAAATGAATCTTTCTTTCACTGGCTGGGGTGAATTCTGTTCTCCACAATCAGTTATTTTAATTGAAACCACATCTCACTCCATCATCCAGTAACCCTTATGCAGGCATACATAGAACTGAGTCATATTCAGTTTCACAAAATCTGAGGATGCATTTGTCTCTTAAGAACTAAAGAAAAAAATCACTCCATTCTATTTTTTTGCTCCTTGCATTGTTTCATTTTTCATACATATTATACATATTATAATCATAATTACCTGGAATCCTCTGATACTGAAATTTGCAATTAAACAGAGCAGGACAATGCTTGAGTAAAAGTGATGCTGAGGCAGTAATTGGATAAATTAGTTATGTATGAAGTAGGTTTGATCCATCTGCAATGATTGAAAATATAATGTTATCCAGGGAAGAGAGGAGAAGGAGAAAAAGAATATTCTCAAAGAATCCAGCGTTAAATGCAAGTGAGGCTACTTATACAAATATGTGCAATATTGTGTCTTCATATATTAACCAAAACTTAACATCAGGGGAGGAGGAAGGGAAAAGGGTCAATAAGGAAAATGAGAAAGAAAGAAAGAAAGAAAAACATATATACAAATCCAAAACCATTTGTAATTATTCATTCAATTTTTTTGTGCATGAAATACAATGGATTTCCAATCCCAGTATTGTTCCACACCCATCTTTCCACTTATGTTTCTCGGTCCCAAGCTGTGTACCTACCAGTTTATTTGAAGTCAAGTTGTCTTGTGCCAGCATAACTTTTTCAATCCTTTGTTTAACTTTCTTGCTGCCCAGTTTTAATTTTTCTTCCTTGGTGGCACTTCTTGATGTGCCCTGCCTTGGAGTTCTTTTTTTCCTTTCCCCACTTTGTGAATTTCTGTGCTTTTGCCAACCTTCCTTGGAAAGTTGATTTCCAGTCTCCCTTTCTCTAGACAATGCCCACCATGTTGTGCCTTGGTGAGTGCCTGGTTTCTCTTACACATTCATTCATGGATGCCCAGTTTAGATCCCTGCTCCCATGCTATCTTCACCAACACTATTAACACTTTCACCCTATTAACACTTTAGCATCTTGCCTTTTCGTTCAACACTCCCTTTCAAACACACATCCTTTCTTTGCAAAAGCATTTTGGAGATCCTATCATCCCCTCAAGTTTTACCCACTGTCCTCTGGTGCTCACCCAAAGCGGGCTCCCGCAAAACAGAATCGTTGCCTGTCGCGTGCCTACTGCTCATACCCACTCACTCTTGCTCTGTGCTATGAATGACTTTGGGGCGGGCATTGTTCAGGAATAAATATCATTTCTGGAAACTGAGATGGGGGAGGCTGGGATGCGCTGGGGGGGGGAATGCAATACTGCTGTGACATTTGTGCTAAGTTGTCGTGTCAGATTTGAACTTAATTCCCTCCAATGGATCAAGGGTGGGAGGGGGTAGAGCAGAGAGAGAGATGTCCCCAGTTATATAGCCATGTATTGTTGCTTACAGAAATCATAGAGAAGGAGCCTGTCAGAGCTGGTCAGGGCTAGAGGGTACGGTAAGGAAAGGGAGGGGGGAAACGGGACAGATGCCACAGACAGGCATGAGATGTACCTTGTACAAATGGCTGCAGGGACAGAAGAAAAAGAGACACCAATATGCTTTTTCTAGCCCTTCCCATCTTCCTGTCTTCCCTTCCCATCTTCTTCCAGCCTTTTCCATCTTAGACTCCTGTCTAAGCATTATCAGGTCTCTCCCTTTTTAACCAAAGAGGCCCCAAAGACTCCAAGATCATCTAAAAAAGCCAAGGAGTCTTCATCCTGAATTTTGCTCAGAACATCTAAATAAAGGGTTTCTTCCTTTATTTAATGTAGAAACTATTTTTCTTCCAAATAATTTTAAGCGCCATACAGGCTATCCTTACAAACATTTTGTAAAGTGTTAGCTGAGGACTGACTCAAGGATATTTAGTGACTTTTGTGACTGCCTAAATCTGGATCTCATCTATCTAATCCAATATTCTAATCATGAAAACTTGGACAGAATCTACCAACTTGTATGAAAGAAAGCATATATGGTTAACAGAGCCACTAAAGAATTCCCATCAGACAATCTGGTTTGGTGGGTTGGGGGGAGTGGATATAAGTATCATAGGGTGATTCCAAGTTACACTTCAGATTTATAGAACTTTGTGTTTTTTTGTAGCAACCTAAAACCCATCTAAAGGAACTGAGATAAAAAACGAATTCATGCAGAATTAAATATCTGAATCCAAGAACTGACTCATTGTTCCAGATCTTAATAAAGCTAACAATTTTCCACTAAAATTCCCAGTTATCCCAAGCTTCCTTTATTACAACAGTCTAGTTTTAAGAGGAAGGGACATTGCCATAATCTGTTGCTACTGCAATGATTATAAGAGGCGGGAATCAGAAATCCTCATAGATCTAGTGCAAACTTATCTGAGATCTACCAGTGGTTACAGATTTACCTGTGGCTTAAATGAAAGAAAACAGAAGTTCTAATGCAGGGCAGGTCAGGGCAGGATGGAGAGGTCCTTTGGTCATAACTAAGAGTCTATCGATAGGCATTTTGGCAAAAGTTGTTTTATTAAAACTGTGTCCAGAGGTTGTGGGTCCAACACTGAAGGTCTTTAAGAAAAGATTGGACAACCATTAGTTTGAAATGGTATAGGGCAATGGTGGTGAACCTATGGCACACATGCCAGAGGCGGCACTCAGAGCCCTCTCTGTTGGCACATGTGCCACTGCCGCCAGCAGCAGGTCGATCAGGCTGCCACCACTGCCCAGAGCAGGAGCCCCGCCCAGCACAAAGGAAGCAAAGCAGCCAACTAGCAAGCTCGAGTAGAGGTGGTAGAGCAGAGGTCACCAACCATTGTCGATTGGTGGACTGGAAGAAAAGGGAGGGGGAAGCATTTTACATGCGTGCATGCGCACACAGGGCTACGAGCACACACACACTGCAAATGGGATGGGGCTAGTGCAGCACGATGCTCACTAGCCCTGCCCTGTTCTTGCATGGTGCAGCGTCTTGTATCTGCACCCCACAGTGCGGCGGTGGCCGTTTTTGCGCCTTGCAGCACAGTGGCCCATTTTTGCACCCCTGTTTTTGCATGCCAGAGGCAGCACTCAGAGGTGCCTCCCTGCCCCCCAAGGGCACCACAATGCTGATGCAGCCCTGACACTTTGCAATAAATAAATGGGTTTTGGGTTGCGGTTTGGGCACTTGGCCTCTAAAAGGTTCGCCATCACTGGTATAGGGTCTCCTGTGTGAGAGAAGAGTTGGATTAGAAAACATCTAAGTCCCTTCCAGTTCTGTTATTCTGTTATTCAACTGTCTACTGATAGATATTTTCACAAAAATTGCCCTGTTAAAAGTGTGGAGATGGGGAAATAGGAGAAAGTCTAGGAGAGGCAGTGGTCTGTACCTTAACTTCTTTGTGAAGAGGCAAGAGTATCCACATGACTTCAGAGGCAGAGGGGCTGAGGCTAAGTACATATTTCTGTTGCTGCCACAGCGATCAATTAAAAATGCAAAGCAGATTGACTCATGTGGAAGGGGCTTGGGGGAGGGAGCCAGGGAATGTCAGGCTTCATCTATCTGTCCAGCAAGACATGATAGGGAGGGAAGAAGGTGACATGACAAGCAGGGTGATGCCTGTAGGGCTACATAACTGAAGAGGTTTAGCAATGGCCCCTGTCCCACTTTTTAAAAGCAAAAGTAAACCATTGCAGATCCAAGATTGTCAAGACCTCCAGAGACCCCAATATTCCCCTCTCCAATCTAGTTATGCATTGGAAATAAAGCTTCCTTCTCATACTTGTACAATACACTCCCCTTTGCAACACAGAAGCACTGTACTGCACCCCATAGAAATGGGGCCCTGGCATATCCCCTGCTTCAATCTCTGTCCTTCCTTGGTTTGTACTGGCCCCATCTCCTCTTGCTCTTAACCCCACCAGAACAACTCAGCTCCATCGCTTCAGATTATTTCTTGCTTCTGACAGAATCATGATTTTGTTAATTGAAACATTAAAGTACTCTCTGTCTTCAGCTAATGCTTTTCAAGGCTGGGCCAGAGATAGTGGGGGAGGAAATAGTGTGTGGGGCGTAAGATCTGCATCCCTCAGGGCCTGTGAAAAAGATGAGATTTCAAGAGCAGCCAGTGATTTCATGGCCCAGGAATAGTCAGGTAAAGCAGAACCACAACTAGACAAGATGGGTGTGACAGCCAGGAAGTGAATACATAAAGAGAACCAAAGCTGTGTTGGAGACTGAACAGAGAGTGGGGGGAAAGGAACAACAATGATAGCAAATACAGCTAGGAAAAAAATCTCCCTACACATGGCATTGGACCAGGCTATTTGCAGAACCACCTGTTCATAGGATCTCTGTCAGGCCCACGTATTTCAACAGGTTTTCTTTCTGAGAGAAAGCCAGCTTATGAAACCTTTGAGGTATACCTTTTTGGTAATAACCCTCTGCTTTTTGGAGTGATTTGCCCTCCCAATATACAATTGTGTGACTTGTTTCCTTTTTATTAGTTTATAATATAGAATATAAAAAATATAAAGCAAATTATGCATCCAGTTTTACATCCACCACGATGTAAAAAAGATGTGAGACTCCAGAAAGAGTGCAGATAAGATGATCAGGGGACTGGAGGCTAACACATATAAGGAACGGTTGCTGGAATTGGGTATGTCTACTTTAATGAAAAGAAAGGCTAGGGGTGACATGATAGCAATGCCCCAACATCTCAGGGGCTGCCACAAAGAAGAGGGAGTGAAGCTATTCTCCAAAGTACCTGAGGAAAGGACAAGAAGCAACGGGTGGAAAGTAATCAAGGAGAGAAGCAACCTAGAATTAAGGAGAAATTTTCTGACAGTTAAAACAATTAATCAGTGAAACAACTTGCCTCCAGAAGTTATGAATGCTCCAACACAGGACGTTTTAAAGAAGAGATTGGACAGCCAAACTGAATGAACTATTAGAGAGCCCGCTTTCTCTCACGTATAATCTCTGAACTGAGTTGCCTCTTATCTCTGGAATGCAACCTTTTCTCTTTGAAATCCACCTCCTTACTACTACATTTTATTACATTGGCTTGTTCACCGGGTCTTTGGATCTGGATGAGAAGAGTCTCAATTGTTGAATTACAGTATATTTTAATCTGGTCGCCATATTATGATTTCAGTGGGCTTTTCATTTATTGTGTGGTTTACATAGCAACAATAACTAATTAAACAAACAAACACACAAACAAACAATATTCTCACTCTATCTCTTTCTATGTCAAGGAACCAGTGAGTAAAAGCTAATGCAAAATGGTATCTATAATTAGTTGTCAAAACAAAATATTGAAAAATGTATTTCTTGCTCCACTAGTCACCTCTACACACTCTCCACATCTATACAATTATAGACCTTTTCAATTTTTTTCTCTCATATAGCATCTTCTAAATATGATGGACTGCAACTTCTATTGATCTCCTGTAGTCTGGAGAGGTTGCATATTGCAATTTACCACATCTGGAGGATGTGAGATTGGGAATGAGTTATAATAGGGGTTTCCAAACTATGGTCCGTGGCCTGGTACCGGGCCACAGCCTTTTGGCCATTGGGCCTCCGGAATAGCTGGCAAACCCCGCCCCACTCGCAGTAGCAGTAGCAACCCCATTTGCGCATGCACGGGGATGCTAGCACCACTGCCAATGTCACACAAGCACAGGAACCCCATTTGCGCATGCACATGCATGCTAGCATTCAAGCCATGGCCACATGTGACCCATTTGCGCCTGTGCATAGGCATCAGCCCACGCGCTATAGGTGCATGTGGCCCACTTGTGCATGTGTGCACACCTTGGTGCCACCATCATGCATGTGCCCATTTGTGCATGCATGCACAGAGCCATGCACGTGCAGGTTTCTCTGCTGTTCCCTTTCCTCCTGGGCCGCCAAGCCAGAAAGGTCGGGGAATTCTGAGCTATAACATCATAACTCGAAATATCTGATCAACCTCCTTCAGACTTCAAGACAGTGTTTCTGAATTTACAATCACAATTATGACCAGAATTTTTATTGCTAAGCAAGGTGGTTGTTAACTGAGTTGCACCTGATTTTTCATCACAATTGCTAAGTAAATCACAGCAATTGTTAAATGAATCACATGGTTGTTAAGTGAATCCAGTTTCTTCCATTGACTTAGCTTCTCAGAAAGGTCACAAAGGGGGACCACATGA